TGCTTAGCAGCTTATGTGATGGTGACAAGTGACACTGTGACAACCAATTTTAGGTAGCCCGTATAATTCTGTCCTCCTTCATTATATTTTGTTACCTAATTTTTCAAAATTCGAACAATCGAACTTGCCTGCCTCCACTCTCTTACATGCATGATACTACTATGATTGAGACCATTTCTAATGAGAAAATGAATTTGGCAAATTATTATTTCATTGTTTATTTATCTACAACATTTACTTTCATGAAATTTTTTTGAGTGTATTTGAAACGTGGTGCGGAAGATCACATAACATTGTATAATTGAAAGAACACTTCAAAAAAAAAAATTTCTAATTGTATAATAATACATGACGCGTTACCTCGTGTTTCAAATACACTTAAATATTTTATTATAAAAAGATATAAGTAGCCCGATTTACCTGCTCATGATATTGTAGGGCAGAGGGTAACAAAATTTACAGACTCAATTACCTATGCTATTGAAATTCGATTTTATTTACGTAACTCAATCAAAATATGTTTGTTTCCTCAATTGCCTCCAAAAGATGCTGCCTATTCAAATATTCAGAAATCGTTAGAAATTCGAAATTATGCCGTAGAAGTTGCAACCGTTTCACTCAAACAAGGCAGAGACTTCACATGACCAAACAAACACGCAATAGCTTTGGTCGGTCAAAGTCTTAGGAAGGGTGATGGAAATGTTTATTATGGAAATCTCTTACAAAAATGTACGACACGTTGTTTTGGTATGACTCATTTCACTAATGGTCGTAGTATGTGTCAGAGTTGTCTTAATCAAATTAAGTGATAGAAATTTATTCTTTGTTATTAATGTTTGAATTACTTTCTTATGTAAATAAATTAGACAACGTTTGAACGTATTATTGCTAGTAAATTATGAGATTTAATTTTTATTTTTTTAAATATAAAATATTTTGTTTGTTAAAAAAATATTGCTCTCTTATGTGACATTTTTCCCTTCGAATTTGGGGTGGGTTTCAGCAAACCCCAACCCACGCCTTAATTATGTCTCTAATGACCATGTTAGCGTGATCAGTATGATGACCTCTGAGATTTTCTGGAACAACTCCAACTTCATACTTGATAGCATGATATGAATATTACTAAAAGTGGTGGTGGCACCTAATTTACAGGAGATTTTTCTCTTCTAAATAAGATTTAGACTTATTGACATCACCAGTAAAGTACACTATTTATCCGATAATAAAATTTTCACATGATATCTTTGATTACAAGAAATTTCTCTCTTAATTTACCCTCCGAACAAAAAATATTATGTCTATGCATATGTTATGCAGAAACCAAAAAAAAGGTTCTAGTACATTTTCATAGAGCTACTGCTCACCGTCCGACTAACGCATAGTGCTTTTTAGAACTTTAATCTTACCAATCAAGCATTAAATCGTTTTCTAAACCTTTTCTCAGAATAAAATAGAAAGAAAAAAAAAAACAATTCCAAGCATGTTGCTTGAGGGGGAGGGTCACATGCAAAAGTTGTTACATTTTCGTAGGACTCATCTGATCGCATGTGCTCACGCCCTTCGTTTAAACAGATAAGCATTGCATTATTGTGCACGATCGAACCTTACAAACAAAGATTCTGACATCCCTTTGAGTCATACAAGAACTGCATTATTGTGTATGTGAGCCTAATCATGCACGCCTAATTAATACGACATGCATGCATCGTTGGAAGAAAATTGCATTGGTTAAGCCACATATAGTTCAGTTTGATACCGACTCTTGATTCAACGAATTTGGCTTTGTAATTCTGTACAAATATCGTGTCACCGATGCCCTTACAGTCATCATCGATTTGTATATAACTATGTGCTTATTTATCTCATCACGTGATTTGCTACAACATATTTGTCCTTTCATCGGTTGTATATAACTACTATGCCTCATTCACGCAATCAGAAGAATGGACTCACAAGTACACAGGGGTAGACTGGTGGAGCCAAAATTTTAGGTTAGAAGGGGCCTCTTAGATCTGTTAAAAAAAATGCTGCAACACCACCGACAATGGTAGCTGAAACAACGCTGCAACATGCTTGCGAATCCCTTTCTCATGCTTGCGAAGCCATTGTCTCATGCATCCACCATCTGGTCATCCTCTCAACCACTACTTTGATGCTCATATTGATGTTTGTTTGCTCGGTGACAATGATGTTGATTTTTCAATTCCACTCCATTTCATCAGTATGTTTCGACTAATTGGGAGCCATGTTAATTAGCAAAGAAAACAACTTAATAGAAATAAATAACGAGAACATGAAAATTGCACATGTATGGAAGCAGAATTCAAATATGTCAACAACTACCAAAACCTTGTGAAAAAGATTAAAAGAAACAGCTCTCTCGCCTACGTCATCTCTCTCTCTCCCTCTGGTTGAGGCCCCAATCCCTTGAAAAATCTTTGGAAATCAGAAGGATAATTATAATTTTTTTCTCTATAAAAAATGATTAAGGTAGGCCTAGGACCATTCTTGTCCCTTCATGGCTCTGCCCTTGGGTAGATCCAGCTTCGGGCAAATTGGGTCAGTTGACACCCCCCGCCCCCCCCCCCCCCCTCCCGCCCAAAAAACACCCCAAAGCTCAAAAAAACTCCATGGAAAAGTGAAGTCCTACCCCTTGACAATTTGAGATACCCTTGAAAGCTGTCCTCCAATTGTTTTGACTAATTGCCTTTATGAGAATTGGCCAGGGTAGTTGCTAGTTGCATGCCAAAAAAGCTCAATGAAATGTCAATTTACATGCTATATTTCGTCCAAAAAAACTTTACGCCCTGCTCACCCTCCTTTTTACTGACCTCCAAATCATATTTTCTGCACCCACCACTCCAACCGAAAACCCCAAGAATCTATACCCTACAAATTGAATTTTGAATTTAGGGTTTAGGACAGGAATGCATATGCAACCGAATATTGCGCAGGATTGACAATGAATTTGGACCCTAAGTTATTGGATCGATCTATGACAGCAATGCATGCATGGAATAGTATCAGAAACAGAGGCTAGATATGTGTGTGTGTCTCACATTTTGATACAGGGCATATATACGTGCTTCCAACTAAGTACAATTTTCGCAAAGCCCGCATAGAGGGTGTTTCCACGTTCCAACCAGGACAAGAAGAGAATGCACATGCAGTTCCCTTTTTTGGTTAAAGCACATTCTTCCAAAGAGATTCTTGCATATCTTCGGAGTTACGCGATGAGCGATATACACACTCGAAGATATACTCTAGTCCCAAACGAGCATTTTTCTCCATTTCTTTGGCTACACATCTTTGAACCAACATGATTGGCGCTAGCCATGTCAAACTACATTGCTTGATGTTAAGTTTTTTATCCCCAAAAGAAAAATAGCACCGGACCGAAATTTTGTTGATTCAATATTAAAGGGATTAGCTTCAAAGCAAGTATCCCATTTTAATGCAACCAGCATACATATAGGCCAATGTAGGAACACTGTCACCATATATGATCTCTTTTATATATCACTCTTTTTCCCCATTCTTTTGCTCTATAATACGAGAGTGTTATACGATAAATACATAGTTCGTATGGAAGCCCCGTCATCTTGTTTTTATACAACGAACCAGGATTCCAGCTAAAATGGGGCACGCATTCTGGAGTTATTGAAAGAGATTTTGTGACTATGACACGATGTTCTACTTTCTAAGTTTGAATCACATAGTGGCACAGATGAGGGTATGGCATACCATTCTTCTTCCAAAACCCTAAAAACAAAAGGGAAAAGAGCAGCATATAATAATAGAAGAACAACATATGGTTGCCATACAAAATGACAGAGTGGAACAATACACCAAGTTATGGGGTGTGTGTATGGAGAGACATGTTTCATTGTTCTCCGGGAAGAGGCTTCAGCTGTCGGAATCTTTGTTTTCTAAGATTCTTGGAACTATATATTATATACTGTGTAGATGTTGCCTGGTGTGCCAGTGCACTTTGCCCTAATATTCATCACCTTCTTTTGACCTAACTCGATCTTCCATGCATATTCCATTTCCACCAATTCCTCCACCATCATCTTAATAATGCCAAAATTAAATATATTTAATAATCACACAGTTCTTAGTTAGTGTCTCAAATGCCGAGAAAAAAAGAAGGAAAATACCCAAATCGAGGGCTAAATTAAACCCTCAGTCATGTTTTCGGTTTAAAGAAATTGTGACCATTCATAATTCAATCCTAATTCAATGGCAGGTAATTATTTAATTTTTTTGTTGTACTTTCTCTACGATCATTAGAATAAAAGCAAACGATGGGTGACCACAGTATTTTTAGATTATAGTCTAAGAAAATGGAACTCATTAAACCATAGCTTGAATAATCTCTCTGCGTGCACCCGCGCATGCGTGTGTCTTCCAAGGTCGGACATGCATGCATTTTGATATAGGCCCACAAGCATGTATGTAGGTATGTTACAATACTTGGTCACACGAAGTCCGTTTATGGCTAAGTTTTGATAATTTGTAGGGCTAGCTCTCCATATTTACAGCTCCGACGAGGAGCGCATGAACTCAGAATTATGATGAAGTTGACTCGAAAACGATGGCTTACATCACTAATTGCATGCTTGTATTGAAGAAATTACCAGTTGAATCACAAGTACACACTGAAAATTTAAGTACCTCTGGTCCCCTACCGCGATGGGATATATTACATAGAATCATGCAAGATAGTTGTAGAATGTGAATACTCGATCGATCAACAGAATGCAGCTACTCAACTGGTGGTTCATATCTTGCCATTATCCAGCACAATTTATCGTTCGTTATAGAAAACCTCATGGTCCTTTTTTTTCACTTTAGATTAATTTTGAGCCAGGAGATAGATAAATATACACATCTCATCACACGGTGGAGAAAAGGTGAAAACTGCAATTACAATAACAATATGACAAATGGAAATTTAAATTACTGAAGAATGAATACAGATGAACTCGAAGAAGGGTCATGTGATTCTACTTTATTGAGACAGAAGAATCTATCTGGAAATGGGGATAGTAATACAAAATACATGTTACATGATGTACAATTACTCGATGCGTGTTGGTGTTGGTTTGCACGTCCATCCAACCAGTTCAGGAACTCAAACAAACCAATAGAGAAACAAATTTTCCCTATATGGTACATGCTAATGCTATACACGAAAACTTGTAATATATATGCTTCTTCGTTTTCATACGGACCGACAATTGAAGTCAGGAATCAATACTATCACTGTTGTATTGCCGGGCGATTTTGCTTCCCACTCTTCTTCAGAGATATCTGCATCGACGTCCCACACGAAATTAGAAGTTACTACCATTAGAGGTTTGTGACAGGTGAATTTACTTGGATTAGTGCCATGGAAAGAATTCGGGACTAGTTACTAACACCCTAGCAACTAAATAATACTTGTATAGCAACCGAAGCGCACAACAAGGTGAAGGCTCAGTTTGGATTACCAAGAGAAGATCCTCATCAGTACCAAAGGATTTGCGGGCTTCTTCTAAGCATGTTGATGAGATCCTCTCGTTTTTCCTGCACATTTTATCAGAGTGTACACTTCAATAAGCTAAAAGAACTTGGAAACACAATCAAAAGTGTAGCGCAGATTCATGTGTAAATTTCAAATCGAAGACTATTGACATAAAAAATCAAAACTCATTGAGGGGCATGCTTACTCACCAGGAATGGGTATGGATGGTATGGGTCTCATTCCCATTCCTGACATATCCTGCGTTTACTATCACACAAGGAATAAGAAATGAGTGGCCCCACATTAAAATCATTTATCCCGTGCCTAATCAACCAGGTATCAATCATATTGACCAAAACATCAACCAGGTATCATATCGTAAAGGAGGGGTGGTTTATCCTTTACCTGAACAACCATGTCTTTCCCCACTCTAAGTAAGGAAACATGTGCACTATCAGCTATATGCAAGCATAATGCAGCCTTTCCGAGTAACGTTTGCAGTCTTAACGTACATCGGATCTTCGTAACTATTCTTATGGTGGAGTACCACTCACTCAAGTTGCTAGACTTTAAACCCAATAGCAGGAATGTGATATGATCATGAACTTGGTGTAAATAATAAAATTAATTAATATAGGTTTATGTGATGTTGGATTGGAAATCATGAAGAACTTAAGACTTAAAAAATCATGAAAGCCAGATTATCATAGGATGCCTTTCTAAGAGTTTTGACAAACTTAAACTTATCACATGATGGGTTTTCATAACTCATCACTCAAATCTTTCTAGTCAGTCTAACTTATTTATTAGCCAAGGCGGGAAGTGTCTACTTTTGACATCTCTCTTATTTCATTGGAATTTGTTAGCATGTCATACTCATGATACTCCACAAATTTCAAGAAATTGTTGGAGACGGGTAATCTCCAAATTGCTGTGTCTGTCATCATGCTTTATACTCGGCAGGAAAGTTAAACACGAATGTAGATGACCCAAAGGTATCAATAGAAGATAAGGTAACAGCTTTTCTTCTTCTTTCCCAAAAAAGAAGGGAAGGAAAAAAAAAACTTGAAATGAAGATAATACCTTGAACAGGCTGGATCTCTAATTTCAAACTCATCCGTGGTAGTGTCATACCCACATATGACAACATAGTGACCTACAAAAAACCAAAAACAATAGCAATAATCAGTAATCAATTCAGGACGTGCATAAACAGGCAAACTTGTCAAGGATGTGACTGGGAGCAGAAGCGAATAATCAGGACAAGCATAAAGATACTTCATTCCAGCATAGAGCAAGCCTTTAAGTTTATTCAATACGATTCCATAAATTGTCAATCAGAACTGGGGAAATCATGTTAAAGAAATATCTTATGAGGAATTAACTCATAGGTAACCACCGTTCTCACTTTTTGGAAATGGAATGACATTAACATGAATTACAGGCCTATGTTATCACGGTTCTGAACAGAAGAGGTCAGCCAACCTGTCTTGCTAACCAATAAATAAAATGTGCGGAAAGATGCTTACAATCTCCAGGATAATATAGGTGCTAAAGTAAATTTTGACTAGGAGTTAAGCTAAAACAAGCATAAGCTTGTCCTTTTACGTGTATCTATGTCCTTTTTTATTTCTTTTGCTGAACTAATACATATACAGCATAGATATCTCCCCCCAGAAAGCACAATCTGTCATACTCAATACTGAGTGGCAGAAAACTTTTAGTTCAGAATAGAACAGCACCAGGGTAACTAAAAGTAACAGTTCTGCACAACCAAAGTAACAGTCCTACCTGTGTAACCAGAGTTGCTTCCACAAAAGTCTGAGACCAAAACATCGTCCAGACGAGACCTACTGTAACACAATTTTGACAGAAATATTTCCCATTAGCCCAGTATTTACAATTGAACATGTATGTCATATATTACTGCAAGCAGTAAAGGACAGTTCTCAATCAAGGGGGAAGAAAGAAAGAAGGGTAAGCGAGAAATTTGAACCTCAACTTATACTGATCAACCAAAACAATGGCAATGTATTTCCTGGACAAAATTGAGAAACAAATTTCTTCTCGACTGATTGATCTGCGCTGTAAACAAAAGAAGGAAGGTTTATTGCCTTGTCCAAAGAAAATTATACGTAAAAAGGATGTCTGGCTCTTAATTTGGGAAGAGAGAGCCAAGAACTGAAATTAGCAGCTAGCAATTATACCTGTATATTCATTCCACCTTCCAGTGCTTTTTGAAATAGATTATTGACTCGCTCCAGATCATTAGGTAATTGCTCCTGCAGAATAAATCTAATTAATTGAAATTTTTATGTGCATCCAGATGTGAAAAGACAAGCTCACAAGTACATGAACGAAGAAAAGTGAAACTACAATCTTTATATCCAAAACAAGATTTCTTTTCAAAATAAAATAAAATGACCAACTTCTCATATCTTTTACAGATACCAAACACATTAAGTAGCATTCATGATCGTGCAGTTTTAGGTGCCACTCATTGCTAAATAATCAAAGTTCGGCTAATGCCAGGAAATTGTGACAGACAATGTTCTTGTTTATATGCAGTTTGGGTCCTCGCTGTCATATGATATATGCATCTATAATTGATAGACAATTAGGCTAAGATGTGCATCTGGATCTAGCAAACAACCAATATGGTCTAGTTCATAGTAACCAGCACGAAAATACTGTCAGTTAACACTTATCCATGTTAATAGTATGAAATCACCTTGTAAAACTTCTCCCCAGAATAACTTGGGTTTGCTCCAACTGTCACTGTGTAGTAGCAAAAACTAATAGAGAACTTCTGTAATAAAAATGCTAGATCAACAGTCCAAATGCTGCAAACAAGATGTCAGCACTCAGTTACATCAGAAACTTTTCATGTAAGCTCTTATTGAATATGTCACTGATGAATCAAGTATAAGTCTAACTTCAAACCCACGACACTCCATAACTATTCCAACTTCACACAAACATACCCATAATGCTCCATAGGACCATAGCTATTCCAACTCCACAAAAATAATATTTGTTTGTATGAACAATACGAGAAGTAAATAAAGTCATATGTTGGTGGAAAAATGAGTGAGAAAAAATGACTAGCGTTTCACGTTACTCACTTCTGTAAATAAGACGTTTAGGGAAAAATAAACTGATGTAGTAATACAAGTTAAACTCTAGTGGCTTCAACACTAGATCGAGGACTTTTATTCGTCTGCGACTTTTCACCAATCGTCAAACTCAGAACCCTATACACATCAATCAATTGATAAAGAACAATATTCAAAGGAAAGTACATAACAGACCTTCTGTAATAAATAATCTAGATCAACGGTCCAAATGCTGCAAACGATATTGCAAAATTTTCATATAAGTTTGTATTGCATATGTGACTGATGTATCAAGTATAACTCTAACTGAAACTTTTAGCAACAAGAAGGTATCAAGCATTCATATGACACCCCATACCTATAGTACCCATTTCTGTAACATACGGCATGTCCTTCTGTAAATAAGACCTTCTAGGAAAGAATACATTAATATAGCAACAAAAATTAAAAGCTTCAACACTGAATCGAGGAAGGGATTTCATTCGTCTACACTTTCTATTTTCACCAATCTCAAAACCCATACTCCTATAAAAAACGATAAATTTCTATAGAACAATACTCAAAAGAAAGTACATAACGGACTAACAAAAGAGGAAATGAAGCTCTAACTCTGTAAAGAAGGGAACACCTAGTTGTGCCACATAGATGTGCCAATGTCTGAATATCGCAGTTGTCTATGCCAACGGTCCGAAAGACCATCAGAACGCAGGCAAGGCCGCAATCCCAAGAATCTTGCTGGTTTATGTGCGGGACCTATAAGCACCAAACACCCAAACAAATTAAAACTAACAAAACGATTTGATGTGTCCACTTGGAATCCATATATTGTTATCAGAGTACAAACTGAAAAATGTTGTAATTTCAATGTAGACAATCAATAAGAAAGGTAGTGACAGAATCTCAAAGCACTCACTTCAACAAAGTGCGAGCAGGGCAACGGCTGTTCACATGGGTAGGGTTCTACCATGCCTGAAAGTTCTCCACCTGATACATCTTCATCTTCTGTCTTAACAATCTTGTTGAACAAAAAATAAGAAGGCCACATGTGTGACCCAATTCGATAAGGGTTTTCACTGCCACACTAAATCTCAGATATTTAGATAATCAAAGTGGTTATTTCACTTGGTTATCCCCGTAAAATCTTTAAAGGGTATATATCTCTGCAACCTGTTGCATTTTGAACATAGGCATATATCAGGTTTACAAACTAAACAACAAAGAGGAACGAGAGATTGATCTCTCCAACCACGAAAAAAAAGACGTAATCAAACAATGTGCATTTGCCCTTTGCCAGGGCATGATGCATGAACGACTATTAGAGATTCAGTTAGGCTATTTAGGGCCCATTTAGGACTGCTTCTGTGGTAAGCACTTCTGCTCATAAGCGCTTTTTCTATAAGTACTTTTATCAGAACACACATGGAAACTTTTATTAAAGTCCAAGTGCTTCTTAAGTTTTTCGGTAAAACGTATTCAGAAAGCGCCTTTTGCCCTTCCAGAAGCAGTCCCAAACAATCCCTTAATTCTAAGGAAACTGAGATAGAATCAAGCCGAGTTTGGACAGTCTCATCCATGAATCAAACCGAGCTGTCAGCATTACCGGAAATTTTAGCCGCGACGCCGTTTGCATTCAATTATTCAATTCAAATGGAAAACCAGGGTTTCCGACTTGGAATGAAGCTAATGGATGCCCACAAGAACGTAACTTTAAGCATTCTGACGAATCGGATGCCAAAACCAGAAAATATAACCAATCAATTTCCATAAATTTGATAAAACTTCCATTTTCCGCAATCAAAAGGCTCAATTATTCGACAAATAGCGCAACATTTACATCTAAATCAACCAATTGAACCATAATAAAAATAAAAATAAAAAATAAAAGAAAGAGGACCACCAATAATTGAGCTGAATAATTCATAGAAAACAGGACAATAAAGCTCAATACTTTGCAATCCGAGCTATCAAAACCAACGCAACGGTCGGAGGCAAAGAAACCCAGCTACAAATTTCAGATCAAAATCCAATTATTTCATAAAACAAATCGAAAAGCGAATGATGAACAAAAAAAGAAAAGACATAACCTTTGAGGGAAAAGACAACAGAAGAGGAAAGGATGGCAGAGTTCCAAGGAATCCGTGTCTGCTGGCTATGTCCTTGTTCGCCTGGATCCTGCCTGGAAAAACATTCAGATTCTAAATTCCATGTCTTCTGTTTTTCAGCTCTTAAATATTTTTGTGCTTTGATTTGTTTGCTCAAATTGACAGAAATTTACGGTTGTCGGACTCGCCACACAAAATATTTCTTGTTTTGGGGATGAGAAATGTTGGGTTTAATCGCAAATTGGCAAATGGGTAGCAGGTGAGAGAGAGAGAGGAGGAGAGGAGGAAGGAAGTTAGGAAAATAATTGCCTGAGCAATTATTACTTTAGTAAACAGTAATTTTCCGACCGTATCTCCACTCCTTGCATGAATTGTTAGGACAATTGGTATCAACAAATAAGGTTTTTTATTTTTTTATTTTTTTTATATTAATAAAAAGATAATATCATGTTTAATTTCAAATAAGATTTTTAATCAATTTCATCACGCTACGTGTCATTATCCGAAATAATAAAGTTGATGCAACTTTTGCTCATTACGTGTAATGTGACAGCTCGTTCCGAATTTTCGAACCGTAGGGGTGAAATGACGATTTTGCCCCTAGCATGGTTGTTTCGTTGTGTGGTTGTTTTTGGGCTTTTGTTGGCAGGTTTTGGACCACACACTCCCCCACACCCCCCCCACCCTTTTCCCTGTCTCTGCATCCCTGTCCCGAGTCCCCTTTCTCTCCTATTTCTATCCAATTCGTACGAACACACCCCAAAACCCTCCAAACCTTCACAGATCGAGGAAACAAAGTATATATTCATGCTCGTGAAGTCCGTAGGAGTTCAACCATGGCCATTTCAGGTAAGGATACCTTCATTTTCACGTCGAACTCGGGATACCTCGATTTGGTCATTGTTCATGCACACGTTAGTTCTTGTGTTTTTGGGAATTTCAAGCTTGTAGGAAGCTTGGTGAGGTCTTTAGGAGGCTCGGGGTGGTTCGTTTGAAGGTTTTGGACATCGGGATCGTGAGTTTCAAGTTTGGCCGGAGTTGGTGGTGTTTTCCCGGCGAGATTCCGTGGATTTTAGTGCTTGAAGTGGTATGGATTTGTTCCTCTTGTTGTAAGCTTGATTTTGGTACCAATTTTGTGAAATTTGGTTGAAAAACGAGTGAGATATAAGGTTTTGAAAATTTCACGATTTTCCGGCGCGGGAGCTTCGCCGGAGAAGACAACGGAATATTCCGTCAGTTTGTACGGAATATTCCTAACGGCGTTAACGGAATCTGTTAAGGTTGACAGAATATTCCTGACGGCGTTAACTGACGCCGTCAGTGTGCTAAGCACGTGCCTGCACGTGGCCGGCGCTTGAAGGCACGTGCGGCGGTGGAAAAATTTTCTAAAAATATGGGGATGTTCCTAAGGTTTAGTAGATCACGTTGGTGTATTCATACACCCCATTTGAGCATTGCATGAGAAGTTATTTCATAAAGTTGGTTATGTGCTTTAAAATTAACGTTTTTATAGTTGTTTCGCATATAGGTGAGACCTATCCCAAGGACGAGCGTGGTCACTCGAGGCAAGGGGGTTACGACCCTTCTACATACCAGTGAGTGGGCTTTTGGTTTTCCGTATATACCTATATACTTATATTTTTCCCAAAAAATGAATTGAAACGTTATACGTTTATATGCCATGTTTATTGTTTGCCATTTATTTTACGCATTATTAGTTGTACATGTATATATGTTGGTGCTGTGGGCGCACAGGTAAGTGCCAGGTGAGTATGGTTTATGCTTATATTCAGTAGTGGTTTGAGATGCATAGAGATCTCATAACCTGCACCCCCGGTGTTAGTGCTCCCGCCCAGAGTTGGGCACAGTCCTTCACGTGATGTTCACCTCCCGCACCACACGCTCAGCTTGGATCCAAGTTAGGTGCACAGTCCTATCGTACAGACCACTTTAGGTGGTTCCGACTCGTAGGTGACCTGCGATTATTCGCCCAGCCTTCACGTGATCGTAACACTCGAGCGTACTTAGTATACACCCAGTCCTGTCGTACAGACCATTTTAGGTGGTTCCGACTCGTGTGCAGGTATAGTTAGTGAGATGGAGATTTGAGCTCTAGATTCAGCCGTACATGTCACGTTAGGTGACTCCGGCTGACAGATTACATGTCATTGATTTGATATTCCTGAGCACTTGCATTCTATTTAGAGACATTTGGCATGGCATATTTCCGAGCATGATTTATATATATATATATATATATATATGTACATTATGTTTTCTGTGAAGTATACATGTTTTACGGCGAGGGGATAGAATCTTGTTTTTGAAATAGTTTTTGAAAGCTTTGTTTTTGCCCACTCACACTTTTGTTTTGCGCCCCTCCAGGTTCTAGTTGGCTAGCACTCTTGGTGGCTCCCCAGAGGATTTTCCCGGCATATCTGACAGATTATCACCAGTGTAGGACCACCTTCGGGTGTGTTTATGTAGTGTTGTTTCTCCCGGATTGCATTAGGTTTTCATACTCTGAACTTTGTTTTTACACTTACGCTTGCACATGTATGTTATTACTTTGTGTAAAGCTAGTTTTTACTTATTCATACTTTTATTATTATTTTATTAGCTTCCGCACTATGCACATGGTTACGTCACTTCCACGTGACGGCCAACATGCCCTGATCTTGGTCGGGGTGTGTCATGTAAGCATTCATACAATGTAACATCTTCAATAATTGACAAATTCCAACTGGCATCAGTAGCCATTTTTTGCAGATAAAAGTATTTGGAAGGTTTAAGAGAAAGATTGGTTGAAAGTATTTAGAAATATTGAAATGTGGTGTTAGGCGGAAGAGGGTGGTGGGGTATCTATATTTATAGAAAAAAAAAATTAATTTTACTTTTTGCATTTTTTGAATTTTTTTTAACCTAATTAATATGGATAATTAGATTACATTTTTTTTTTTTTTGGGTAGTCCAACAGCCCATATTATGCCTCGTAGTCCCAATAGTAATAAGGGATTTTTTTCTTCAGATGTTTCCTTTTATTTTTATTTATTTAGGCATAAAAATATGGACCGTATGATAGATAGCCGTTACAAATCTAATGAATCACATTGTGTTATATCTACTAACCATTGGGTTTGATTCAAAATTTTTAAACAATTAGAAATCCAACGGTGCAAAAAATAAGCCATTGGAAATCCAACAGACAAGAAATGTCCACGTCGCCCATGTTCATATGGGCTTAGTGTGCTTGCAATGCAAGCCCACCAACTGATTTTGGTCGGCTAACACGCCTGACTCACTCATGAAATGCACATGCCTAACACAAGAAAAAAAAATAATAACTTGACTGACGTTAGCCTTATGGCACATCGACTCAAGCGCACACACATGAAGGGATTAGTTGATTGCTTGGTGAGGAATCCTTGGCCCAACAAGCTATCCGAATTTTTAGGTGTGTGGAAAGGGTTTTTTGGGTTTTGGGATTGAATTCCTCGATTCGCTTGATAATTAGGTAGGCTGGAGTTGTTCTTAAAAGGCTAAAAGTGTTCATACACTGGTATGATTGGCATTTTCTACATGGTTTAATTGTTAACTTGTAATATCACATGATAGTATTTCAATAATACTACACAACAGTTACTCGCCATGAATTCTTGTGAGAAATAATTGTGTTATTTAGAGCATGGTCAAACCATTTTGTTTTTTTAGTTTTTTTTTTTTTTTTTTTTTGTGCTTTAGATATAGAGAAAGTGTACGGAGGAATGAATGGATGAAGAAAGCCGGTGGCAGAGAGATAGTTTTTTTTTTTTTTTTTTTTTTTTTTGTAGAAAATCTCGACGGTACGAGTGAAATTTATTAATATTAAAAAAAGAAGTTACACTTAGTTAGGAGGGATATAAACCTTACTCCTCATAAAACAAGAAAAACAAAATACAAGAAAAACAAAATATAAGAAAAGAGTGAGGGGCATACACCATACTCCTCTTGAAAAAGAGGAGACATAGACCTTACCTCTCTTAAAAAAGAAAATACATGAAAAAAATATTGGGTGGACATAGGACCAAACTCCCTATAAAACCTAAAAGGTAAGCACCTGTAGGACAAGCTACAAAGCGAAAAGGAAAATCCAAAAGAATTAGGTAAAAAAGAAAATCACATATCAAGAAGGGGAGTCAAACCTATACGCCGGCATGCCCAAAAAATCTAAGTGTAGAAAAGGAAGAATGTCTATAGGAGGAGTAGCATGCCAAACAAGTGAAGACGAGAGAAGCCCTAAATTGGCTAATTTGTTAGCAATTGCATTCCCTTCTCGAAACGTATGAGAGCAATAATTTGTTAGCAATTGCATTCCCTTCTCGAAACGTATGAGAGCAATGGAATACCATGTTCTTCAAATGGAAGATACAATTCTTCCAATGTGTTAGGAGCGACCAAGGAGGAGAAAAAGAACCAAAAGAAAAACAAGATATCATGCTAGAGCAGTCACTTTCAAGCAATAAATTTTGCCAACCTTGCGGCTGAGCCAATTCCACAGCAAGAAAGACATCATGAAGCTCCGCATAATAAGAGGTGCAATGTCCCAAGCTCAGGAAAAAACCACCAAGAAAATAATCACAGAATCTCAGAAAACCTCCTCACATGCCACTGGACCCAAGTTACCTTTTTAGTTTTCATTTTTCGTTTTTTTCCAAATAAAGTATTTACTTTTTAGTTTGCATTTGACGTACCTTTCCTTATACATTTTTTTCTACATCTCTCCAACTATCTTTCTTCAATCTGAACTCTTCTATATCTCTCAGTTCTCTTATTTATTTTTCTATCCAACACAAAATCAACTAAAATTAAAAACAAAATATTTATCAACGGACTGGACTTATTGTTTCCTAATATAATACATAGTTACATAGGATTTGTACGTAAGTAGATACTATTTGCAACCAGAGAATTCAATTTGTTTGAATGGGATAGGCCGACCAACACTAACTTCCCCAGCCTACAAAGCCTGCCACAAGTTGTAGTGGCTGTAGCTGAACACAGTTGGTTTCAAATTTAGAGTCTTGAATTTTATGGCCTCAAAAAAGAAAGAGTCTTTTGGATTTAAAAATAAAAAATAAAAAAAATGTTTTTTCCTGGCATTTTCAAACTACTGGGTTTCAGCTTTATAGTCATAAATTTGTGTAATTATATTTAGATTTGTTTATTAAATTTTTTTTTTTTGTGACACTGGGGACAATAGGTTTAAAATCGATGCTCAACGTTGAACCGAAAAGGAGGGAAAATGAGATGAATGCCGAAAGAAAATGATGCTTTTGCGTTTGCAAAAAGCAGCTTGTACCGCCATCAGATGTTGAGAACCATACAGTGATATAAAGTGATTATACAAAAAAGTCAAAGATTTTAGTTTCTTGTTTCCGCTTTCGCAGTCAGTGTCCCTAACGGCTATTAACAATCCAAAAGACATGTTTTTATTTTATTTATTTAATGCTTTATTTTGCAGTTGAGATTGGAGAGGGATATGCAGAAGTGTTCATAAACACTTGGTGGGGTTTTTGTCTTGAGGCCCTCTTCAACCTTTTATGTTGGAAGTTGGGAGTTGGAATTCATCAAATACTTGGGAAAATCAATCACATCAAGCCCCTTTTAATCCTTCTTGTATAATGGTATCGATAAAGTGCCAATGTCATTATTAGTAACTAACAATGGACTTGGTAAGGTTGGGCAATTACGCACCCTTACTTTGGAAAATCTCTCTATTGTATAAAATTTTGCCCACCCAACAACTAGGCAAGGCAACAGGGTGGAGATGCTTTGGCCTATTATTGTTTATTGACGTCTATTACTGTTCACTGAGTGGATAAATAGACTGGGTGCTGGCGCAAAGTCTTTAGGGATGAAATTGCTCTTACAAATTCCCTTTCTTGCCATTCAAACCAATTTCACCCAAATTTATTCCCCTCACTCAACTTCTTTCCTTACTTTCCTTAATTTCTCCGCGGCTACCATTGCTAATGCCAATCCACCAATAAGAAGCTTAGGCACTACACCAAGTTTTTATACCTCGTCCATCCAAATAAAACTTCATGTATTCACCATTATCGATAACATGCCAATAACAAAAATACACTAATATATTATTAATAATATACTAATTATAAAATGCTTCAACATGTTACCAATACATTATCGAGAATATCATACAAACTAAAAATGAAACATTAACATGGGCCGACTTTGTTCAAACACAAAGGTGAATTTGTAGGTAAATGTAAAATAATGTCTCATAAAACCGTGGGATTTTCACTTTTTACTAAAATTCAAGCAAAAAGTCCAAAAAGAAGATTCGAAGGTGAATACTAGATATGGACTTTAGCCATTCTACGAGGTGCTTTTCTTGTAGCTCATGGACCATGTCCTTCTCCACGACCTGCTGACCTACCACCTTAAACGGCTACTTATCCAATCTCAAACCCCATTCAAATTTCAATCATATTCAATTACCAAACTACCCTCACCTAATTACTCAATTTTAGTGGGCATAAATGGCATTTAAATTTGCATTTTGGGTAGTCCAATTGATAACCATTTTCTGAGGGATTCATAGGCTAAATCAAGATGCAACTTGTTGATTTGATGAGGGTGGAAGAAGAGTTGCAAATTCATGCATTCAAGAGCATCAACATTTCAAGCTTTGACCTAACTTACCTCTTCCATTTAAGTTCATGTATTTATGCTCATGATTTTTCAATTTTCCATTTCTTTGATGAAGAGAAAAACAATGTAAAGTGTCAATGGATTTTAGTCCCAATACGTTACTTAATGTGAGTAACATGTAGATTGGTCAATTCGATCTATCTCGGTAGATTTGTAATGTGTTAGAGAATTGTAAGACCTTTCAATTAGAAAGTGAAGTGAATCTTCGGTAAGGGTCATGTGTCGAACTTGCAGGACTATTTGATTAGAAGTTGGCACGTCATCACAAGTAAAGTCGAATTAACTAACAAATAAGGTGTTTGTGTGTGTTTGAGAGGAAGGGCGGGACCACAAGAGAACACTCCACCATAAAAAACAATGTACCTTCTCAATGGAATTTTCTGCCATGTGGGATGAGTTATGTGACATAGTTACAACAATACCTAAGTGAATTTGTCTCACATTGAAAAATTTACATCCGACCTCAATGAATTTCTACAAATTAGGAATTATCCAAGGTTAACCTAAAAGCAATGTATGTTCTCAATAAAAGCAATGGATTTCTACATGCGGTCATAGTCGATACTTACAAATCGACTGTCTATTAATTATAGTTGGTTGACTAAATGATTATTGTCTTAATCGAATTTTTACAGAGATGATATTTACAGACTAAACTTACATTATTAATGGATCCAATCACAAGCATAAAATTTCATATATTAACCACAAAACATTTCAAAGACGAATTCCTCTTCATTGTTGAGTAGCCAAACATTGTTACTTGTTAGTCACTGCCTGGCTAGATTTGTCCTCCATTCTCAAAATGATAGAAAGAAATGTGACCATATAGAAGTTTGAGGGCAAAATTGTAATTACAAGTTGAAAACTCCGTACTCCTCCATCTACATGGTCCTGTAATTTATTAATTTTTTGAACGTATTCTCTACACAGAGGGGGGCGAGAGAGAGCGAGAGAGAGAGAGGGATAGGAAATGAAAAGAAAAGAGACGTTGGCATGTCATGTGACAATTGGCGGTTACCCACAAGAGTCATGACTCCACCTTCTCTCTTCAAACTCAAAAATCAAATTTTATGAAAGAGAGAAGTTGAGAAGAATATAATCAATCCTCTTCTACCACGAGTGAGTGCTTCACTGTTTGCAACTTTGCCTACCAAACCATGCCCAACTTCACCATTTTCTGAATCAATCCTCAATAAATTTCAAAACCCACCTCCCACATCCTCTGAAAACTTCAAATGCACCAAGCTTTGCAGTCCAAATCCATGGCAGAACAAAGCGCCTGAGTTAAATGCTGGCTGATTTACCTTGCTTTCCTTGTGCAGCAGCAGCTCAAGCGTTTTCAGAAGTTCAAAAGATGGAGTCTTTAACGAGAAAAAGGGAGAATTTGCAGAAGAAAAGAACTGGATCCGTCAAGTCTTCAGCTGACAATGGCGGTGGAGGAAGCGAGTCGCTCACCGATTCGAGCGGCGGTAACTCGAGAGAGACTAGCAGTACGAGCCGATCGAGCTCCGAGACTTCCGGTGAGGAACTGAAGAGAAAAGGGCCGTCTTCGCCGCCGCTGCTGGGCTGGCCGATCAGGAAAGCTGAGCTGTGTAAAAACTCGGCTGCTGATTTGGAGGAAGCTGAACGAAAATCCCCTGTTGATGAATGTAAATACAAGGATTTGGCTTCCAAAGTTGCAGGTCAGATTTTGAATTACTCCCATCTTTTGCTTCATTTGGTTGCTGAAAAGTCGTATAAGTAAAAAAATAAAAAACTAAAAAAAATAAAAAAGATGCTCAGAATTCAAAATTTTGAAACTTTACTGTGTTTTCAGCTCACTTTTAGCTGAGCTGCTTCAGGAAACCAAAAGGGGGTTTTGAAAATCTTAAATTTTTCCAGAAAACATTACAAAAATTTTAAATTTATTTTAAAAAATAGGAATTCTGCTTATTTATTTCCCTTTTTGTAATCCTTTTGTTACGTTGGAAATTCAAACAGAAATGGATATGATGAGAGAGAGATTTTCAAAGTTGTTGCTTGGAGAAGACATGTCAGGTTGTGGCAAAGGCGTTTGCACAGCGATGGCAATTTCGAATGCCATTACCAATCTCTGTGGTATGTTCATCCTCCCAGCTTCTTTTAAATTTGTGATTAATCGAATCGATTTATAGTACCATATAGTTCAATCATTCCATATTGCATTTTTCGTTTTTAATTAATCAAATTTTATACAACGTGAAGCTACCATTTTTGGGCAACTATGGAGACTGGAACCCTTGCCTGCTGAAAGGAAATCAATGTGGAAAAGAGAGATGGAGTGGCTCATTTGCGTTAGCGATCACATAGTCGAATTGATACCCTCTTGGCAAACATTTCCTGATGGGAAAAAGCTTGAGGTAATCCTTGATGTAGTGTTAAGTCTGTTCAGTGATCATATTTTGCTTTCTTTATCCTTCTTTTCGGAAGATGGAAAAATGAAAAATGATATTTTGAAGCTTAGATTTCACAACACTAGCTCACCTGACCTAAACGTAATTCTTCGCTTGTTTTTTCTTTCAAATGCCATAACCTTACGTTTTAGGGTCCCCTGCTATGATGGTTATGCAGATTATATGTTTATAACTCTTTATGACATGGTAAATAGATGTGCAAAATCTCGAATGGAGAACCCGTGGCAAGCATGAGCAATCGTCTAATGTTTGTTGTTTCTTATTGCTGGTGCATTCTGTAGGTCATGACTTGCAGGCCCCGGTCAGATCTGTTTATGAATCTTCCAGCGCTGCGTAAGCTAGACAATATGCTTCTTGTGAGTCCGAACCTTGATTGTTTCATAATGTACAGTTTTCATTTTTACAAGTCATTATGAGTTTAGGAGTGTTCCTTGTTTCTCTATCCAGGAAATATTAGATAGCTTCACCAATACGGAGTTCTGGTATGTTGATCAAGGAGTTATAGCCCCGGAAGCAGATGGCTCAGCCTCTTTTCGCAAAACAGTCCAGCGGCAAGAGGAGAAGTGGTGGCTACCTGTACCTCGCGTGGCAGCTGATGGTCTAAGTGAAAATTCAAGAAAGCAGTTGCATCACACGCGGGAATGCACAAATCAAATACTAAAAGCTGCAATGGCTATCAACAGCATTACTCTTGCAGAAATGGAAGTTCCAGAGTCATACATGGAAACTCTTCCCAAGGTTCGCAATCTGAACATTGCATGATACTTTTATGCGAAGCTGAGTGATGCTGTTATATTAATTTCTTTCGTCATATCTTTTAAAATTTATTTCTCAATCATGCTTTTTCTAAACATATATAGAAGTTACATTATTATGGTTAATAAATCTAGATCGTAGTTTTATAATCTGATGTTGAAATTTTTATGATATGTAATCAACAGAATGGAAAGGCCTGTCTTGGGGACATAATTTACCGATATATTACATCAGACAAATTCTCCCCAGAGATTTTGCTTGACTGCCTTGACCTGTCCAGCGAACATGTTGCTCTAGAGATTGCAAACCGTGTTGAAGCATCAATATTTGTCTGGCGTAGAAGAACTCACTCAAAGCCCCCACCTTATCCAAACCGCTCCTCCGCAAAGTCATCTTGGGAGATGGTCAAGGACCTAATGATCGATGTGGAAAAGCGAGAATTACTGGCAGAAAGAGCTGAAAGCCTCCTGCTTTCCTTGAAGCAGCGGTTTCCGTGTCTTACTCAAACCATCTTGGACACGAGCAAGATTCAGTGCAATAAGGTTAATTTTGCTTCCTTTGAAAAAATTTCCTCAGATTCCGTTTATTTCCTTGTATTTTTGTCATAACAATAACACTCCTGGGATTCAAAATTTCAGGATGTTGGAAAGTCCATTCTTGAAAGCTATTCAAGGGTTTTGGAGAGCCTGGCATTTAACATTGTGGCTCGTATTGATGATTTACTATATGTGGACGACTTGGCAAAACAGACAGATAAACTGTCATCAGTTACCGCGGTCAGTGTAATTTCTCGCAAGAAGGTCCCGGTTTCATATCCAGTGCCTCCCTCAAGCACTCCTCGCAAAAGAACTTCTGCCATAGGCAACTTATCACCTGCACCTTTAATTAGCCCTGCAAGGGGAGAGAGGACTCCCTTTCTCCACACCAATACCAACAAGGACAAGCCTCCCCGCCACGGCTTTGGAGTGAGGAGAGTCTTGACAAATTACCTTGGTGGTGAAACAAAAGCAAGAATCTGCAGCGACACAATGGAAGGGTCGGTTTCGATACCAAACTTACACGGCACAGAGACTTCGGATCATCTTATGGACTCCTCGTCCCACCAAAATGGGAGAAAATCATACTAAGCAGATCGCTGAGGTTTGGCGTATTAAATCATGGTCTTCTCTTGAAGTGGTTGAGGCAAGAAGTGGAAAGAAAAGATAGAATAGACAGAAAATCTCTTGCCGGAACCAAGTATTGATCATGCCTTATGAGAGTTGGGGGAGTTTAATGTATTTGTTAAAGTTCCTGGTTATTTAGATGTTGGTTTGGATTTGAAATGTGGCTAAAAGGATAAAAAATAGAGACACATTAGATTGGTTATTTAAACTTCTGCAGATAGAATATAGACATGAGATTGCTTGTTCAAATTTTCAAATTAATGACCTCTTTTTACCCTCTCTCTCTCTCTCTCTCTCTCTCTCTCTCTCTCACACACACACACACACAAACAAGAAAGGCTAAAAGACTCCAAGGTAATGTTTTTTTGAACTTAGGACTTCCAAATATAATGACAGATATAAATAGTTGATATGCAGATCGACTTTCAAATAAACAACTAAATAACTAATGAAGATCTCACTTGTGGTTATTCTTTATATTTAAAAACAATGAAAAAGGTAAAATAAATTTGAAAAGGTGAAGAGAACTTGAATTAAAAATAAATTTGGGTACCCCACCTAATAAATTTTGAATGCACAAGAAAAATTAAAGAGTAAAACACTTTCTTTTAAATATTGTAAAACAACCAACCTACCAACAAGGTCGTTGTAGTATAGTGGTAAGTATTCCCGCCTGTCACGCGGGTGACCCGGGTTCGATCCCCGGCAACGGCGATATTTTGTTTTATTAAACTCATCACGATCGTGACACGTGTAGCTCCTCAACGGCCGTCTTTTTCTTTTCCTTTCCTTTTCCTCGTGTTTCCACGAAAGAGAAAACGAACGAACAAATCCATCAACCCAAGTCTGCAACTTTACCAGCAAGTCAGCTCAGCCACCACTGCTCCGATTCCTTACGAAAATACCAAAATGCCCGGCGGCACCGCCATCCACCTGACGGCCCTCGACGGCATCGTCAACGTCAACTCCCTCTTCACCTTGGCCGTCTTCGTCGGCCTCACCTGGAACCCCTCCGACCCGGAAAACACCCTCATCGAGGCCGACGACCCAACGGCCTGCCGCCCCGGTCCCTCCGTCGCCGAGGATCTCGTCTCCTTCCACGTCTACTCCTTCAGCTCCTTCCTCTTCTCCAGCCTCGTCGCCCTCGGCCTCAAGCAGGCCATCCGGATCACCCGCAGCCCGTCCTACCACCGGCCCGCCGAGATTCTCGTCCGGGTCAACAGCACCCTCCTCCGGATCGGGATGCTCGTCTCGGGTGTCGGTTCGGCGGCCGGTTGCGTGTTCCTGATGCTGGCTCTCATCAACGTGGTGCAGATCAAGCTCGGGACTTTGGCCTGCGGCAGCTTCAACACTCTCGCCGCCGCCGTCCCGCTCGTCATCCTCGTCCCCGTCGCGCTGCTCATCTATGTTTGCACCGTTTTGTACGCTTTTACGCGCTAAATTATTGTATATTAGTTGTAATTTGATGAATTTTAATGCCTGATTTGGATTAATCCTGAGATTTAAGTTCTTAAATTCGATTAAAACATATAAAGCATGGTTTATTTATTTATTTTATCGTGATTTGTTTGATTTTGTTCACATTAGTGGTGGCACAAGTGGGCAATCAAATTGATTAGTGCTCCGCAGTTAGGGTGTGATGGGAATTTGGGGATGAGTGGTAGTACAAGTGGGTGTAGGAAGTGCTAATATTCTAGTGAATTTGTTCATGTTAGCAATTATTGCATTTGCTCTGTTTTGGATTACTGATGCTATTTCCATCATGATTCCATGAGTGTGGAGTGGCCCACCAAGCACCTCCACACGGGATGTCATTTTGGCGGTATCTTGAGCTAATCACTTGTGTTTAACTGCGTTATTAACTTGGAATACCGTTGCAGTAGGATCTCATGTGTAGGTATGGGTATGTCCGTTTTCGTTCTCAGCAGGGTGGGGAGGCTGTCATCATAGAGGAGTATTAGTTGCTTGATGATCTCTGGTAAGTGCTAAGTTGGTGATTATGGTTGGGTAGTTCAATAGTTTAACCGTGGTTTTGCGGTTTTTCTTCAGTGCAGTGCTGCACTTGGTGCAAATGCGGTTTCAGTTTTTCACATCGTTCCACTTCTGCATTGCTTTGCTCTTTAGAAGTGGTAGCTTGGATCTCTGGACTGGTTTACCACTGACCAAACATAGCGCGCAATGAAGCACCAAAGGAAAACCGATGACTTACAGGGTATCGGTCTATTGATTATAGGTCTAAATGGTCTAGAGGAACAGATTGAGGTAGGAATAGGATGATGCTGTGGATGTCTGTGAGATTGGTCGATGCTGTGTTATCTGTTGCTCAAGGGATGCCCTTGTGTGCCTCTTTTCTGAAGGGACGAAAGTAGTGGAACGGTGGGAAGCACTTTAGTTAGAGGTGATGACTTTCAGTGGCCTAAAGTCGCCAGGCAATCGAAATCCATTTCTGAAGGAGTAGATGCTGCAATAAACAAAGCATGCCTCCTTCCAAGTGCTGCCTCCACCATGCCTTGGGGGTTTCATCTTTCGGTAACTAATCAAGCATCTTTTGAGCTGCTTATTGCTGTATAAAAGCAGGAAGTCTGAGAAGTGTTTTCTGCACAGCATTGAAGAAATGGAAGCTCCAATGACTTGTAGCGTTTCTTGCAATTCTCGGCACAAGTCAGTTTAAAACTTTGAAGGGGCATATGGGGCTGGTAAATGTCGTAAATCCAGCCCTGTTAATGAGGCTTGGAAGCTGGTTACCTGTGCATCAGCAGCACAGGACCAAAATGCTGCAGTTTCCGCTAATTGCTGCAGCCAAGTACAAAGGATAGGCCACAACCTGTTCATATTTTCATCTTATACATGCCCTGAAGACGTTGAAGCCGCTGACGGTGCCTGGTACAAGGACTGTGAAGGAGTACAGGGTTTAGGGTTTCAGGTTCAACTTCCATGAATGGAGCGAGTCCAAATTCCCATCCCCAAATATCGTTATGTCAAAAAAAACACATTCTGTTGCGCGAGCCCCGAAGGTCGAGTTCCTAAGTACCGGCTGATTGAACCTTACTAATTCGTACTGATTAGTTGGCAAATTAACACTGCGCAAACTAGTGTCTTGAATTTATTAAGCATCATTGAGAGATCCAAGCTAATATACTATTGCGAGTTATTTACGCACTTAACATCTTGTGTTCAATTCCTCCGCTAATGTTTGTAAGATTAGAAAAAGTATAGAAACAATATCTAGAAACCTGCTGTATTCCAATACTAGGTCCACTGAATTCTGTCGATTAATAAGAAGTCTAAGAAAGCGTCGGTACACCAACCACTTTCAATTCCACTCAATCAACTGAGTAGGACATTGCCTCGTATTTTCTCCGTAAAATTCAAATAATATGATCAAAATTAGAGCCAAGACTTTGAGTCTCTGTCCCAACCTATTGACTTCTTGGAACTAAACCTTTTGGAGGACTAGATCATTCTTTTAAAAAACTCTTAAAACCAGGTAATCATGTATTAATTAAACTAACTAATTGATAATTAACTATTAATTATTCTTATCGTGGTCTTCCGAGAACTTATATGTATATATGTGCAAAAAATGCATTAACAGAATTGTGAAAACAGAAATGGAAGGAGGTGCGATATTGAGGAAGTTCTGGTGCTTGGTGGTGGCTTTGTTTGTAATTTCAGGCAAGAATTGGGGATTAATTGAAGGGGTTGATGGGGCTGCCGGCGGTGAGTGTGGGGAGATGGACCCGGACGTTCTGGTGTACAAGCTAGCATCGTGTGCGGCGTCGGCGCAGGACAAGAACGTGGCTGTTCCTAACAAGTGCTGTGCTGTGGTGAGCAAGGTACGCGCAAACTGCCTTTGCTCCATCTTACTTTCGAAAGAAGCCAAGAGCCTTGGAATCAGGCCTGATGTTGCAGCCACCATTCCTAAACGTTGCAATGTTGCCAGACGTACTAGGGGCTACAAGTGCGGAGGTACATACATCTCTATCTTTTTAGCGAAACGTTCTCTTGTCAGAGTTATATTGTTGGGTTATGTATTCATCAACATGATTATTAACGATTTAGATTAACAGTCTTGCAATAGAAGAGATGGACGTGAATTCAAATTGCCTAAATCTTGATTTGCTAGCTCGTAAGAGACTTTTCATTTTGGTGATTTGCAGCTTTTATCGTGCCAGCATGAAGGCATACAGAAGATCATTAGTGATGCTGCCAGCTATGGTTCTCAAGTATACTTGATTAGTAGAACTCTTAGTGATACTATAATTCAGCTTAATTACAATTTTGCTGGCTATAAACTTGAAGAAACTTAGTATTCACTAATAAAATGTTGTCGTCAATGCTTTATATACTTGAAAATAAGAATTCTTACATTCCAGCCGATCACAGTTTGATACATATAAATTTCCTTTTGTGTTTTCGACAAGTTATTTTACCGCACTCCATATGTTTGGCAAAAATATTGTAGGGATTCCTACTTTTAGAAATAATAGGGAAGGAGCCAAGCAAATTTGCATTTAGAATATCACAGAAAAAGTTGCTATGTCTTCATAGTATATGGATTTGATCACTAGAATTAATTATATAAGGATTGAAATTCAAAAAAGCACAAGGGGCTAGTTAATTAGTAAATGGAAAGTTCTTACAAAACAAAGTACATCAAAGATGAGATCAGAAGCTCATATCCATAAATAGTTAAACTTGGCCTACTTGACTAACTGGGATAAAAAGAACCCAACAAGCCAAGTTTCTGGATTAGTCCTGGCTGCTCTGCTAGCTGTATCTGCCATGCTATATACGTACTATATATAACACCATCTTTATTTGTTTTATCTTACATAGAAGATATTAGTGTTTTACCTGCAACATAACAAGCATTTTTCTGCGTCAGATGAATATCTAAGAACAATTCTTCAAATAGTTATATTGCTTTTATCACTTTGAATAGCATCATTCGTACTTATTAAAGGAAGCGATAAATGGTGAATTTTTAATGTGGCATGACACCGTCTCATAGTTTTGATATTTAGTATTTTATGAACACCTAGCATAGAATAATGAATAAATAAATACACGTATTATAACGTGAGCATACCAATAACACTATTTGATGGTTATAATTAAGACATGTTAATGTGGCAAATAAGGCATAAGTTTCATTAACCATATAGGGATAGGAAAAGTAGTGTAACCTGCTAATAGGTGGCCAGAGCAAACAGTTAGTAATAAAGTGAACCTGCAGAAATGAGACATCAAACGTACATATTAATTAAGGAAAACTAATAAAAAGAATTTGAAAACTTTGAGTTTTAATGATAAGGACAAAATAAATGATAAAGTGAATAGTACTAGAATTAACTTTTTAGTATAAAATATGATTTTTCGTTAAAATGAATAATACTGTAGACTTTTCGTTAAAATTCTCTATTAATTATGCAGAATAAACACTAGTAATAGTCTTCATTAAGTACTAAGCCCACAAATATATCATACCCTGCCACCAGTTTCCTCTCGAAGCACTGTTTGCATTATTCCCATTTGCATCGTCCTCACCGCCATCTTTCTTAGACTAAAATTGGATTACAACAATATGATTAGTGTTTATTTCATAAAAATCGAATAAACAACCAACACGACCCCAATTTTTGTACTTACAGTATGCTGCTGATGGGATTCAGTTGTCCCAGTTCTTGGACTATAATTTTCTTGGCCGCCATAGTAGATTGATGAACTGAGATTGCATGGATCCGCAGCTTCGTTTTGATACATATTGGAAGCTTTAATGGTTTTGTTTTCACCCTTATTATCCAAAAAACTTGGACTCCCGTACTTACCAGCTTGATCTCCAAAGTCCTGCCTTCTCTCCTTCCCAACTCCCTGAATCAAAATTTAAACCCACAGGTTAACACACAAAAAAATGTAATTTGTTGACGGATGTATATGTCTCGCATCGAAAACCTGACCGAGAACTTGTTTGATAATCATTTTAGTTCAAAAAATAAAATAAAGCAAAAATCTAAGTCAACTTTTGAAAACACAAGAAATAGTTTCAGTTTTGAAAACAATCACTGAACAAGTTTTCAACTTTCAAGAAAAAATAGAAAATAGAAAATGAAATGATTATCAAATGATAAACCTAAATAAGTGATAAGCATTTATATACCGTTGAGGGGACGGGTGGGAAAATGGAGCCAAAGAATCCGGAAGGGGATGATGAAGAAGATGACGAGTCCTTGGGACCAAAGAGATGATCCAGACTCCTTGATGATGACGAAGAAGAAGAAGAGCCATGGCTTGCACCACTTCCCACTTTCTTCTTGTTCTCCATAGTCGTTAATTAGTGAACTGAAGCTAAAGCTGGTATGTTACAAAAGCTGCTTTCAGCCTTGTCAACTAACGAACAGATTATAACTACTGCTTTTTGATAGTTGTTGATAGTTATCTCTTAATGGTCAAAGACTCCGAAGCAGAAATTGGATAAGGTTTGCAGAATCAGAATTCAGAAACCAACAACTTAAAGAGATAAAATTGGAGGGAGGGCAGATATGAAGCAGGAAGGAGCACGTGAAGTTTTGCAGATGTGGAGAGTGTGAAGGTGTCGCTGGCTATTTATAAACCCAAAAAGAGAGAGAAAAAATAAACTAGAGTTAGCTCTAAGGTTGGACTGGTTCGATTTATTTTTTCGTATCCATAATACTCTTTTACCAAGTTTTATTATTGTATTCTTAGTATAACACATGTATACAATTATTTACTTTATATCATAGCTACATGAAACATTAATTAGTTGATTGAGTCTATTATAATGTGTAAATTAATTAATAACATCATATGTCGGTATAACGATTTCTAATGATTTGCATGCATAGATGACAAACCCATAATTTTGTCTCTGGTTCCCATGTGCCTTTCATTAAGTTTATTGTCTAGGTGACAGATGGGTGCATCAGTTCGTTCCCAAGTGGACATCCTGCCAACTCTAAGCCCGTACTGCCACGTGCCCCATCCTACATCAGTCTTTGACCTGTACAAATTTTGTTCCATTAATGTGCTTTGCTTTGCTTTGCATGAGTGGTAGTCTCAGATATTGTTCTCAGAGAGAGGGAGAGTCTCATGGTTTCATAGGTGAGGAGAGGATAAACGGATAAGGTGTTTTCTTTTGGTTCAACTGGGGCTTTGATAGGAGGATATGCCCCTACATAAACTAGTTTGACTCCTTAAAAGTTTAGAACAAGGCCATATTACATGTGTGCCCGTCTACCTTGAAATCTTTCAAGGAATCGGTATCGAATGCAATAAGATATATAGAACTTTTGAACCATTATTTTTCTTGATTAATATTAGATATAACTGAAATGTGTTAATAAAGAACACTAAACTCTTTATGCGTAAGAGAACAATGTGTTTTGCTCGCGAGTTAGGATTAACTGAAGTATTTTTTAGCCTAATAGGATGATAAACACGGCTTAGGAGTAAGATTTATATCTTTTCTGATTAAGTGCAACTTTTTTTTTATTTTTTTATTTTTATTTTTTTTCAATTGAAAAAATGTCACAATCGTCAAAATTCCTTAAATAACATGTAAATAGAAATAACTTATACATTTAGGGTGCGTTTGTTTGTCCTCAATAACTTTCACTAGACCGGATTGGACTTGTGTTTGTTGCATGCAAGACTAAGTTCACCCCCCCTTGGGGACCCGCGAAAACATGGGATTGGCTAAGATCGTGCTTCGCTTCTACCTTGACTTGTCTGCGATTGGCGAAGGACCTGCATCACCGCCTATGGTCTCCATCAAAACCCAAATCCCCAATAGACGGGATCTTTGTGACCCCATTGGTGGGTGAGGAAGGAAAAGGATCCTCACTAGATCCCTTCCGCTAAATCCACCCAATCAATCAATCCGGGCCCTTGAAATTTGATCCAACGACTACAAACAAGGGGCCTCTTTAAAAGTTATAATAATTTTAACCGTTAGATCAAATTTCAAGGGTTTGGATTAGGTGATTGAGTGAATATGGTGGAAGGGATCTGAAGAGGATCCCTTTCTGGTGAGGAACACAACAAGGAGGAGCGTGAGGAGGCTTATGAGCCATCCAGTGCGCTTGAAGGAATATGGGAAGCCAAGAACGCCAACGCTTATTATGATGAAGATGTTGGTGAAGGTCTTGGATTAGTATGACAACTTCTTAGGGTCGCCAATCAATGGCGTGTTCTCCGTCACAGTAGCCTGAGACGTTGGACGATGAGGTTGCCTCCTTGTTGTCACCTATGTTTTTATCTTTGTTTTGATTTTGAATTGGGCTTTGATTTTGAATTGATTTTTGATTTGATATGGAATTGGCCTTTGATTTGATCTGCAATTGTGGAATTGGGAGTTGGCTTTTGATTTGGTATGCAATTGTGGAATTGGAGAAAATTTTCATTGTGATTGAAACACGAGTGGTACATCATGTATTTTTATGTAAGTGGTGGAAAATTTTATTTTTTAAGCTATTAACTTTTAAAAACATATCCCACAATTTGTATAGTGACATATGATGTACCATTTCGTGTTCCAATCACATTGAAAAATCTCTCGTGAAATTGGTTTTTGCGAGAGAGAAAGTTTTTAGAAAAAAGAAAAAGAAAAAGAGAGAATTAATAATAAAATATTAATAAATATGGATTAACTAAACTTAGGTTTTTTTTTCTTAGCATCCCACGTTAAAATTTAATATTAAGTGGCTTATGTAATTTACTATGCAATGACAATTTCGACCTTATGAGGTTTAAAGAAAATAAGAAATTTCTAAATACACCATAAATTACTTTTAACGTATTATTTATCTTCTTCAATTATCAAAAACGTTCTCACCCTCCACTCCATTGTTGAATAAAATTCTAACTATTGAAACTATAAACATGTTGATTGAGAAAAAAATATAATATCAATATTTCAGAAGCTTCACATGAGGTAAAATTTCATATTTGTCATTGTTTTAACTATTCAATGACATCGGTAATTATTTAAGCCTGTTTTTGCTTTCCATACTACCCAATTTCATAGGAGGCCAACCCAGCAACATCTTTTCCGTTCTTATTCATCTTCTGGGGTTTACTTTTGCTCTGTTAGGTTCCTCCTAGTTGCCATTTTTTAGCAGAAATCCTTTTTTTAGCAAGAGGCTTAAGAGATAGAGAAAAGGAGATTGGCTGTGATGACCCAATGAAATTCAAGCTCAAAAGACTGGATTGTAGACTTCTCTTTTTAGAGAATGTTAGGCTTTTAATCATAAGTCAATTTAATTTATTAAAATTGAAAATGGGTATTATAAGATTTGAAGAATGTCGGGTGTATAGAAAATGTGGGGTGTATGTGGAAAATATTAGGTGTATGAGAATGTGAGGTGTAAGGGTATTATAAGGAAGTATGTGGGGTGTATTAAGATAATTTTTAATTGAAAAAGCAAATGTGGGGTGTATATGGAAAATATTATGTGTATGAGAATGTGAGGTGTAAGGGTATTATAAGTAAGTATGTGGGGTGTATTAAGATAACTTTTAATTGAAAAAGCAAATGTGGGGTGTATTAAGTATGTGAGGTTTAATCAACAATATGTGAGGTGTTAAAAGAATAAGCCATAATATTAATATTAGAATTTGTTAATGATGCTGCTTCTTAGTACGACACTACATTAAATGTTTCCAATTTAGTCTAATTTAATGCAGTTCAGCTTAGGCCCTTATAAAAACTAGACCACTTTATTCAAAACATATATATGTCATTATTTAAAGTTATTGATCGAAAGATAATGTTCTAATTAGGTGTGCTAAAGGTGACTAATTTGTCTTTTTAAAACATAATTCTAGGATATCGAAAGAATATCTCATGATCAACATGGCTACTAACAAAAGATATTCCACGTGGTCAAATGGTGTGGCGTTGCTTAGAAAAATATCAAACCCATGGATTCCTCAGGCTTCTCATATGTGCTTACAACATATGCTAATTCGTTTAGTTAATGATTTGATAAAGGTGGCATCAAGTTATAGTTTTGACTAATCCCTTCCTTTCTGTACTACCAACCAGAAACTTTATTTGGATGATTGTAATCAACCAATGAAGGGATTACAAGTAATGATGTTTAGACGCATAAGCAATGTTAGGATACTATATTTAAATCACATTATCTTGAAGATACGGTAGTTAAAGAATTTCAATCTTTGAAGTTTGATATCATCATGCCTTGAGGTTCCTTTTGGATAGCTTAGGATAAGCACTGCATCTTCCATTACATGCATCAGTATATTTTCCTGGAAAAGTTGATCACATTTTTTTAAAATCCAGAGAAATGTTTTTCCATTTGTGGATGTAGATGTTGGATAACTCCATTTCCTGTCATATCTATGCACTGCATCCTTATCTGAAGAAGAAAATATAGATTTTCCCTCTCCTGACCGATCCTTTGCACATGGCATCTTGCTAATTTAGAACGTGTCGGCAGTAGTGGCTTGTCCACTGGATGGATCCTATTTTTTATTAAGGTTCTAAAAGTCGCTAGGTGCTAGTCGGACGGTGGGTTGGCACCTAGTGTCTAGATGGCTAGGCGGCCTAGGTGAATTTAGGTAAATTTTTTGTATATCTTGTAAATAAGTGCATATTGACACTTACAAAAAATTATACTTGTATGAAATCCATGGATAAGTTTTAGTCTCTCTAACAAAACTAACAGTACCCATATAGAACATATTTACTAGTGAAGAGCGTAACTATTTTTATTTTATTATAATTATAAGTTGGTAGTGGGTAATTAATTGGAGACTGAAGGTGGATAATTAATAGTGGAAAGTAGTGGACACCGGTCAAAGAGAAGGGATGGGTTATTGACGCCTTGGAAATTGCGAAGGCCTTTATCTTTTCCGTTTCCTCTTCCTTGCCTTCAATTGCTCCACCCATCTTCTTCTTTCTTTGTAAAATTTCCCTGCGCCACCCATCTTCTTTTTCCTTTGTAAAATTTCCCAAAACCTCAAGCACATCGAAGAAATCTTCTAAAACATTGCATGCTCGATCGAAGAAATCCCAACTATCCAGGTCAATTTCTTGTTTATCCTTACAATTGTAGATTTGTTATTCTAATTCTACTTCGCTCTCTCTCTTCAATATTATGTGAACGCCTCCTCTTTTAGGTGATGCTGTGAAACAACGATATGTATATATATTTTAAACATAACCGCCTAGTCCGCCGCTGAGGTTGCCGAGGTCGCCTAGCCTGCCCAATCGGCCGCCTAGGTGCCGCCTAATATCCTTGCCAATTTGTTGAACGCTTTTGGAATAATCACGGCGGCAACCTAGCCTGCTTTTTAGAACAGTGGTTTTGATATTAGTGGTTTTAGGTTGGACATTTGACAGTTCCAATTCAACCCAATTCTTGTATTAGAAAGGTTGGCTTGGGCCAGAGTTGATGTCCAACCAATATTTCAAGGACAAATAAAAATGAGTTATTCATTTGAGGTCAATGTTACATGTTTAACATAGATTTCAATCAGTTAGCATGTTGTCTACTTGGAGTTCCAAAATGGTTAAATGCGACTCACTATTTTGTAGTAATCAACTAATTCTACTAAACTACAGGGGAGGGGTAATCAAACTTGGGTATATATTGGTGATCACATTATTCCCATCTCATGAGAATATTTAATTAGGATGATACTTGCATCCACCTCATGAGTGAATTACCTTATTCATAGACTTGCAATTAACGTGTGCAATAGCCTTTATCGGTGATAAGTTAGTGGATAAAGTGGTGCGTCTATAAAAGTCGATGCAAGTATTATCAAGATGGTTATCTTCCCGAATCAAATCTGCTAAAAGAAGAAAATTATCCAACGTACTTGACCATGGCTGTTGAAAACTAGAAAGCCAGGAGCCAGTTTGAAGAAAAGTTTCGAAAGAAGGTCATTTTTACTTCATTCAATATCTCGTTGTAGGGGAATATGGTACCAAAGCATATTAATTTGTGGTGTCAATCCCATGTCTAGCTTTTCCTATGGATATTCGCTTTTGAAAAGAAAAAAACTTGACCTACATCACATGCCATGCACGATACTGACCTTTAGATACATCCAAAAGCCAAGAAACGTGCTTATTTGATCATGGTCGGTCGCATGTTATTATATGGATAATGTTAGCTAGATAAAAAATATTTAAATTAAATTTGTAATTTAAATGATATATCATAAGTAAGAAATAAACACGTTACAATAATGTATCATAAGTAAGAAATAAACATGTTAATTAACACTTAAGTAATAATTCAATCATCGACACTTGTTTGGACCCAAATTTACATCATCGGCCTGTGCAATCAAGATCGTTGAGTGCGCATAACTCCCAACCGTTGGATGGGAAGTGAACATAATTTTGTTAAAGGATAATATTATGATTTTTATCATAATAATTATCTTTTAATATGAATTATTTTGGCATATTCTTAAGCGGGATGGATGAGATGCAACAATTTCCAAACAAGCGGTACAGTTCATATGGACTTGGGATTCTTGTTATCGGATTGGAGCAAGATGGTACATTAAGATAAGGTTTGAATAGTCAGGATGCATGGTTTTGGGAGAATGATGAAGTCACAATAATGATGAGATAAGGAACCTAGGTAGGCTACACCTTTTTGCATGGTGATGGATTGTCATATGAGTTTAAAGGCTACTGATAGAGTTTTAATGATGAGATAAGAAGCCTGAGTGGGCTAGGCTTTTGATGAGATGTGAAGCCTAGATAGGGTTTTATTTTGTTTGAAAAGTCACGAACAGTAATCTGAAGGGTATGCCTTGGCCTTTGACACGGATCAATTTCAGTTCCGCGAGTTAGAGTTGCAGTTGGACTCTACAAAATTATCTAGCCATGTTGAGCAAAAAGTATGGATGCTAAAAATATAGAGTTTTAGGCAACATTTCAAGCCCCTTCCAAATCAACACACAAATTGCCCTGCGCAAAGCTTCTTAACAACCTGAGATTTTATCCTTCTCCCCTTTTTTCCCATCAACACATCTTCAATTTTGATAAACAGCACTGTGAAGGCAACTGGTGACATCTTCAGTTTGGATAAATAGCACTGAAGTCGTAGAATCAACCGACCGAGAAACATCTTCAATTTGGATAAACAACACTGCTTTGAAGCCAACTAGTTATTTATCAAAGTCTTGGTCAACAAGGATTTCTGAGTCTTTGTTGGTTGATGTCATCTCATCAGCCTTCTCGGCGAAATGAGGTGTTACCAGATTACTACATTCGGCACATTGAAAGCCGAATTTGCTATTGAACTTCGCAGAACTAGCAGCCTTTTCTTCAGGCTCTAGAACCCGAAGGCCGAGATGTGTTCCTTCCTCAACCGCAATCACAAGATCAAGAAGTCAGCAGCGCGCCTAACGCTACATCAACATATTTTACTCCCTGGCCGAGTTCGGCCGACGAGTTGGCACGCCTTGCACACAACCAAAGGACGTAGTTAGCTTATTAATTACTTGGTCTGCCATCACGTAGGCTTGGTAGTTTTTAGGGTCAACAACACCATATCATTTAATTTACAAAATTTAGTTTCAAAACTTGTCTCCCTAGCATTACGCTGATAATATATGCTCAAACAAGTGACAGAGTGGGAAGTGAGAAAAGGCAGCTTGCGAATATTCCTATACAATATCACTCGACCGACTATTGTACTTGGCATAATTTGCATGGTAGGGCACGCATTGTAAGTACGTATATTGATCGATGCATGATCCTGGCCAACCATGACCGAGCTACTCTAATATTTTTCATGTGAGTTGTTTGCGAATGTTCCTCTGTAATATAGAACATTAATAGAAATTTCCTAGCTTCTTGTAGTTTAATCAAGAAAGTTTATACTGAAGTTTTTCTGTGACATCCCACATCACCCAGGGAAGTGATCCTTAAATGTATATTCCCATCTCTACCTAGTACGAGGCATTTTGGGAGCTCACTGGCTTCGGGTTCCATGGGAACTCCGAAGTTAAGCGAGTAGAGCGCGAGAGCACTCCCAGGATGGGTGACCCATCGGGAAGTTCTCGTGTGAGTTCCCAGAAACAAAACCGTGAGGGAATGGTAAGCCCAAAGCGGACAATATCGTGCTACGGTGGTGGAGCGGGCCCGGGAAGTGGTCCCACCCCGGGCCGGGATGTGACAATTTGGTATCAGAGCCTAACCATGGTCGTGTGTGTGCCGACGAGGACGTCGGGCCCCTAAGGGGGGTGGATTGTGACATCCCACATCACCTAGGGAAGTGATCCTTAAATGTATATTCCCATCTCTACCTAGTACGAGGCATTTTGGGAGCTCACTGGCTTCGGGTTCCATGGGAACTCCGAAGTTAAGCGAGTAGAGCGCGAGAGCACTCCCAGGATGGGTGACCCATCGGGAAGTTCTCGTGTGAGTTCCCAGAAACAAAACCGTGAGGGAATGGTAAGCCCAAAGCGGACAATATCGTGCTACGGTGGTGGAGCGGGCCCGGGAAGTGGTCCCACCCCGGGCCGGGATGTGACATTTTCTCGTTGCTGTAGTGCTAGCTAAACCTGTATAAATAGGCAACGAGGGATGGGGCTTTGTTTATCTATATCTATCAATCAACACATGGGAGAAAATCGATCTTTCCCATGCAGACCAAAAATGAACAACAAAAGATACACTTAGATTGCACACAAAGAACTATATATACGTCCTTAAATGGGTATGTTTCAAATTTCAATGTATTGCTTCCTATTAAAGGTTCATAAATATCATCATCTAGAATATATCTTCATGATCTATATGTTACGCTTTTTTTTTTCGTTAATTTTTTATCACCATTCTCAAGTAATGGTCTCATCGTCCTACTTGTTAGTTGTTACTGTTAAATGAATTTAAATTTTTAGATTTGTATTTATACATTACACAAATTTTAAAATTTAAATTCATTAAGCAGTAATACATAGGGTGGTTAGCATCGCCATTATTTGATAGTAATGAGCAAAATATTATCATTATTTTTAGAGCATCTCCAATGAAAAATGCAAAATGTCTTGAAATTGACATTTTACATTTTTTTTTGAACTCCAATGACAGTGTGACAACTTGTCCCTGATTTTAAAATTTTATAAATTTTAAAAGAGTGATTTGACGAAAATGCCCTAGAGGTGAGATTGTTGACTTTCGTTGACTGCCTTTTTTTGACATGTACGAGCTACTATTTTATCATATTCTCGAAATACTCGACGGTATAAATGTATAGGCTCAAGCAAAACCGAATTTGGAGTTACGATAAAGATTTTACAAAACTACGAAGTAGAAGGGCATTTTAGTAAATTTATTATTTCAGATATTCACCCTTACTATTTTATTATTTTTAGTGGGATATCTATGTTCGTGGGATCGATCCACATGGGTCTCCTCGCCTCTTTGTCCCTGTGTCCTCTCATTCCCACTCTTCCGGACCTCTCTTTCTTTCAACTCACATTTCTTCACTCTCTCTCACTCACCTAACTCTTTTTTTTCATTTTTTCTCACTCAAACTCTTTCTTTTATGTACACACATCGAGAGACCATGCACCACATAACACACTCACTACCTCTCCGAGGAACTCCACCTGAACCACCACCTTCATTTCAACTGCCTAGAAGAGTTCCAAAAAACCCAAAAGCAAGGGAAAACCCCTAGGCTTTCTCATCCCTCGTTTATTTACAAATCGTGATCAACATCTCATTTTTCTTGCCGTTTTACTGAGGATGCTGGCGCGGCGGAGCCGCTGTTTCCCCATCGATCTCATATCACCAACATGCCTCGCATGTTCTTCCTCGAGCTCTGGAACGAACACCGGCGCCATGTTTTCCTAAGTGCGCCATTTCCTTAATGAATCCGGCTTCTAATAACTTGTCGATCTCCACCTTAATAATCGCTACTCACTCGGGTGTGAAATATCGCCTTTTTTGGATCACAGGTTTGGCAGTGAGATTGACGTGCAGCTTATGGCAAGCTATCGCTAGATTAATACATGGCATGTCAGATGATGGCCTTGCGAAAACGTCATGATTTTCCCTAAGGAAAACCGTGAGTTCTTCATTCTCCGTCGGGCTCAGACGTGAGCCAATCTTAATTGTCTTCTCCATCTGTTAGGGGTCAATTATGATGTTCTTGGCGTCTTCTTCGGATTTCCATCCTGATTCATTTTCTAGGGCATTGTCGATCTTAACGCCATCTTTTTTACCTGCATGCTGTAATTGCTATTTGGTGAAGGTTAAATCATCTTTCTGCACTTCAACTGTTACTGTAAGGGCGAAAGACTTCATTTTCCTCTTCTTGAGAACTTGTACAGTGCATCGTCGAGACATGGTCTGGTTGCTGAGACATGGCCTGGTCTCCTTTGATCTTTCCGATTGCTCTTCCTGGGATGAGAAATCGAATTTTTTGATACTCGATCAAGGTCACAGCTCCAATCTTCACTAGCCAAGGTCGGCCCAATATCCTATTATGGGGAGATGGGT